CTTAGAGAATACGCGAGCACCTCCCTTACCGGAAAACCATTAACCTCAACAGTTCAGTCAGAAGCTCAATCGCGTCCCACCTAATTGACACCGGGAACGTAGTTATGCCAAATGAGTCATTTCAATTCATTTGCCGTGTATCAAATAGATTGCCAGTATCTATTCAGCCGAGGCAGTCATTATACGCCTGCGAAACCCGGTACTTTGGTGTCAAAACCGTCTCGTACGTAAATGTTTTTTCTTTACAAAATTCTGTTTCTACATGAATCTGGCTCACTTTTTCGGACAAGGACCGATCGAATAGCTGAGGGTTGTAAGTTCTAAGTTTCGCTAAATCCGTGAATATCTAAAACCAGTCGAATCTGCACATACTCCGTCCCCGAGCAGGAAAATTCTACTTGTGACGTCAGAAAGAGAGTACATCACATCACGGGATGTCATTGCATTTCAAGAAAAAGAGCTCCATACCACACAGAACCATCTCGGAGACAGTCAACCGTGATACAGTGGTCAAGTCAAATCCAATCGTTTAGACCCGGATACGTGCGAGCTAATCACAGTGCTGATCAGCCACTCGTGGCAGAAGTGTCCAATCTACTAGCCGGAGGGTCGCCGGTTCCAAACGTAATCGAGTTTTACGAGATGACTCCCAGTAATGATGGGATAGCTGTACAGTGCTTCATGGCATTTCCGTACGGACTGTCTCCACTTTCTAGAAGAAGATATCTTCACTGAAACTGCACACGAGCAACCGAAAAACTGGAACTGAGTTTGAGCAATGGATCGCAACTGCTAAGCTATCAGATTGGCGGGAAAATTCGGTGAACTTACCAAACCATATGATTCACCAGGCGGTCATAGTAGAACTTTCCTAATTGGACAAAATGCAGGAGATGGTTTTAAAGTCAAGATGTGAATAAACAGTCGGTACCGAAGGAACAGAAAGACCATAAAAGATAAATGATATTGATAATGTGTTGGAATATTGGTAGCCTGGAGTGCATTAAGTGATAATTGATCAGGTGACTGTTGATCTGTTCGCCGAGCTTGGCAATGGGTTTGCAAACATTTCATCGCGTTTTGAGGAGACATCTTCAGTGGGTGGACCCATCCAACAGCGCAGTGAAGATGTCGTCTCGAATGGTGGCGAAACGTTTGCAAACCTCATCTCCTTCGAATTTAACCGACAACTTCTTGGCAAGATCTATAGAAATTAGAAGAGAGCGCGATGTGTATTTCGTTGTATATATTCGGGGTATAGTACAGACAAATATCGGATGTCGAAAGCAAGTCAATCGCCACAGGAGTGGCCCATTTCTTCTGTTTACACAGTCCTGGTTTCTACACTGACTGCTAACGACTTGGCAAACAGCAATACCTTACAGTTCGTGGTCTTGATCCTGCCCAGGTAAATAACGTGAACGAAGGGCTATCGGCGGTGCCGTTACCGATCTTGTGTGGTTAATTGATTCACAAGCTGCTGCATTCAAATTGGAATGTGTTTCAAATGTCTAAATCAAGGTCACCTCACAGTTTTGCCAAGGTATCTCTCCATATGCACAACGGTAAACGAGGTTGGAGTTGGCGAACAGAGGTAGGTTTCAGTTGTAGACGACCACAGGTTCGGCGGCGTAGGTAGGTTGGTTTACCAGCTACGGTGAAGCGCAGCTCCACCAACTCACTAATATCATGTCTAAATTTCAAATTACCCATAAATTCTGCTTTTGGGGCGGAGAAGATCCGCGCCTTCTTCGATCGAAGCCATTTGAAAAACGAACAAACCTCGTTTTCTGTGACTGGCTAGTCCATGATGGTATCAGAAATCATGCGAAAAGATCATGTGACAACCATGGATACATACACATTCAATGAAACAACGATAACAGGAAAGAGGAGAGGGTTAAACTAAATGGGTCAATGGGTCACGGAATCAAGTAACTGACATCAATGTCAGACAAGTTGGCGGGACCGGATTTTTCTCAGACCAACTCAAAGTTCAGAGGTCGCACTAATTTCTTTTGGAGGCAAAGTTAAGGGCTATGCAGTCGGAGTTCAATCACTTATGCGACCGACAACAGTCTGAATCGTATCAGCCGTGATCGGTCCAGACAGAGGTACTCGGTATAGAACATCAAAGAAGAGCTCCCAGCAGATGTGACGTAATTACAGTTCAGCTCGATTTCGTTCAACCACCACGGCAAATAAGTAACTCAGTCAATTCAAGTAACCCACTAACCAAAGACTCACGCACGCAAGTACACAGATGGTGGATGTACACATAACGTAGTGGTAGAACGTGACGATTCGTCCTTCAAACGGAACCTAATAGTGGAACTGAAACTGGAACTCAAGACCAGATCAGCGACCGGGTATATCGTATCAACAGGACCGGTAGGCCTTCTACCAACTAGTTCAACAACCGAGTCATCTTTGAATGGAAGCCCTATGCAGAAGTGACTCTTCCCAACTAAACACTGTTTGGTTTTGTGTTCTGTGGGTTGCGTAATTTTGAATACGAACCGTCCTAGATAGCCATTCTGTAAGAATGTGGGTCTCAAGAACCATAATTCCTCTTATCAATAGCTTGAGGATCATATCCCCATTGCTTCCCCATTCGATCTCCTCTCCTTATTCTTATCAGCTTTTATTAAATGGTACGTACCGATTTTTTTCACGTATTCTCAGCCCGCGATTTCCGGTATCATATAAATTTGTGAGAAGAAGCCAAGAAGACTAATCAGATAAAATTAGCTTCGGTAGTGTGTTGAACTATTGGTAGCTCCGGTGAGTTCATAGGTTGTTGATCCGGTGGCTGTTGATCTGTTCGCCAAGGTTAGCTATTGACTTGCAAACACCTCGTCACCATACGAAAGGATATAATCACTGCGCAGTTGGACAGGCACTTTCTGCCTGCCCGCGTGCATTCACATAACCTGAGAAGATTAGCTGTTACTTAATAACACGATTGGCTAAGTGGAATGGAGCGTTTTTGTGAATCTATTGGGTCGCTTTTGATGCTTGTTGCGTTATGTTTAGCGTTGATTCGAGTAGACTGGTCATCATAATATGTTTCTTTGCTTTGATTGGCCACTTTTCAAGCTGGATTGTGGTGTGATCTGACCTTCTCGAGATTGATTGGAGGAGTTACCCGGCTGATGAATCAGAATACCGAAATTAATCGCCGGACGCAGGGGCACCAGCCGTTCCAATGGAGAATTAGAGCGACGCAACCAACTGACGTAGGTTAGATTGCTTTTGCAAGAAAGATTTCCTGCAGTTGATACATATAGATCAGTCACGCAGCCGGTGTCACTCACGCGTTGAAGCTGCAATAATTCCTAATCCGTGGGAAGAGTAGAACAGCTCGATGGATATCGTCTGCCACGCATGATCAGCCTTCCGTCACTAGCCCAAAGAAACCATGGAATAATATAGATTTGAACACGGTTTACAGCTGACAACATTAACTGAACTGAAAAAGCTCGAGGTGGCTCAGGTGCGAACATACCTATCGGAAGGTCTGTAGTTCGAATCCAATCTCGTTGTCTCTGCTGATCCTGTCTAAACGCGAGTAGCCTGGCAGTATCTCACTCCTCATGCTCCCGGAAAAGTAGCGAATCCCAGACCTACGGAAACTGTTGTATCGCGGGTGGCCGCCTATTGGTTACGCTTGCACTGAGCCCGCCAGGCTACGCGATAAGGCAAAGACAGAAAACCCTGGACACGGCTGTATTGTCGGGATAAAACACAGAGCGTAAATGTATATAATAACTACATGGCTAATTTAGGTCGTTCACTTGTTCGTTCTATACGGCCAATGGCGGTGTTCCGGTCGTGAACAGTCTTAGCCCCACTCCGCTGGTCGTATGTTGCTGAGCCGTGTTTGGTGAGCTCCGCCAATGCACCTGCTACCCGGAACGTACCGATGACGACCATGGGGATGCGTCATTCTCCGCACGTGCTTTTTTCAAGTCTGGGCGCGCCCTGACAGGACCACTATATGGTCCGCCAAACCACGTCTCTTTTGGGTCTTATCAAAATAGCCTTATGAGTTATGTATCGCACTGTATTACACTAAGTTGACTTGTCGTATTTCAACCTTTGTTAATATGATATACGTATACTTCTTGTATAGATCTGCAACCGATCCGCCTTAGAACACTTGATGTTCCGGAGTGCTGAACCAACAACAGTGTTGGAGTGCGTCCACGGTTGTGAATTCCAAAATGAGTATTGATTGTCAGTCTCGTGTGTGTTGGCTGTGTCTCACGGATGCTGCGGATAACAAGACTAACCTCGCGTTCATTGTGAGTAAAAACCGTTTATTTGACCTCATATGAGTCCCCACAAGTGTGGACCACCATCTGGGCTCTGGAATAGCTTCCTCCGGTTCAAACACCTACCTTATTCCCAGGGACTTACACCCAGTCCAGGGTGTTCAGCTGGTCGGGCATTCAAATCAACGCATACCGCATGCCGCAATACCTGTTTTTCGAGATTGCAAATAAACGTAAAATACTGTCCAGCTGTAACACCCTTTCGATGCCTGGCTGCCACGCCACCCGAGGGAAGCGCGAGGGCTGGGATACTGTCAGGTTGCCCAAGCCTAGACAGGGGACGTCGAGAGGCAGATGCCGGGTTCGAACCACGGACCTTTCTCTAACCACTTAAGCCATCTCGCATATAAACGTGGTTCTATGTGGCAGACAAACCGAAAACGGATGCCAAGCAACCACCATCCACCCGGTACGTCGCGTGCTTAACCAGTGTGCTGAGTTGTATGCCACAAGAAACTCTCATTAAGCAAGCTATTCGGACGATGGTTTGAAAGACAACTTCCCAATTATGAGTAACAGTAATAATAACAATAAATGATTAACACATCTTTGCTCGGAATGACCACAAAACTGTCATATGTCCAGAATAAATACAAAGCTGCTTTTAAACTTCGTTATCAAGAACAAGAATCGTACACGTGTGGCTATACTTGATTGGCTAACCTCAGTTGTTACTGAAATATCCTCCGCATCACACAAGGAGATCAGGATTTTTATAGTCATCAACAGAACTCACCTTTGTGATCGCCGTAGAATGACTCTGCCTGAGATCGCGACATGCGAAACACGCCCTGACATAGGATGGACAAATCAGCTTCGCGCATTCGCTGTTCCACATACTGTGTGAATGCAAAGGGGAGGCAATAGCAAGGTGTACGTACGATATTCAAGTTGATTCATACAAAATACACGTCTGAAGAAAGCGAAATCCCTGAGTGAGGGTATCACCACCGTTCCGTTGATCGGGATAAGGGTCACTAAATACGAGCCATTGAATCAAAAAATTTTTGGAAAGGAAACTGTCATTCATTATTTGCTGTCCGATGAAACTGACGAATAATAGTAATGATCGGGCGCATAGCTGCGATGCCACCCGAAGAGGGCCGATAGAATTCAAGTTGATTCATACAAAATACACGTCTGAAGAAAGCGAAATCCCTGAGTGAGGGTATCACCATTGGTTTATCATTAGAATCTTCATAAAAGTGTTGGTGACATTCCGTTGACCGGGATAGAGGTCACTAAACACAAACCACTGCAGGAAAAAAGTTTTGGAAAGAAAAATGCGCGTTGTGAAGTTTATTCCTCTTGCCATTCATTAGTTGTTGTCCAATGACACTGACGAATAATAGTAATGGCCGGGTGCATAGCTGCGATGCTACCCAAAGAGGGGTTTCCGTGACCGATTGGACTAAGATCCAAGTAGGCTATTCGGAAACAAAGTGCGCAGAAAAGTGGACCGTGAGATTCTAAGGCGATTCACTAGCATATACCTGGTCCTTTGCCCCGTTTGACTGCTTAACGGAAGGCCAAATGTGACCTTGTCAGGCTAGATATATTGTACTTTTAATTTACGGATATACCATCTTACGTCCATTGGTCGTTCCAACACTCTGGACCTGAACGGTGCTGTGTATCAAGGTCCGCAAGTTAAAAGTGCAAGACGTGTGGCCTTTATGAACCAGTCGAATGAAACAAACGACCAGATATATGAACGTAGAAAATTGCGGTCCCGTTTCATGTTTGGATCATTCTACAGCTGGACGCCAAACCTGAAATGTCAAGCTTGAAAGCCGTATGCAAGTGTTTGGACAGCTCACGAGTATTCAGTACGTCAGGTAATCTTTGCTGAGCACCGGCGAGATTCATCCGGACACTCCGTTTTTTGCCGTCTCTCCAGATTGGTACTGTTAGGCGGAACTCTACACGGATCCCTCTTTACCGCTCGCACTCAGATGCTGCTACAGCCGAGAAGTCCATCCTAGGCAAGATTGGCTATGAATTCGGGACGACTGCCGGTCCGGCATCAAGACGAGATCTGGTTGGTCGAAAGTCTGGACCCAACAACCAATCATGACCCAGCATTGGCCGAATGCCGGTTTCCAATGTTGCATCCAGAACGCGTCAGAATTTCCAGAAAGCTATTGCCGCCTACATATGAAGCGCTGTACAAGTGTTCCTCATTTCTTTTTGGGCGCTAATATACCTTGTGCGCCTTTGATGGGTTGTTGGGAGGCCCAGACTGAGAACTAAGCTGAGAAAAATACCGTCACTACAAGAAACGGGGGTGATATGCACCGAAGGACATCCATCAACTAAAAGATATTTCTACGATCGAGGGCCTTCCCACTTTTCACGACCGAAATGGTTGAACATGCCGGTGAAGGAAAAACAGTCACGGCCCATTCGAAAAGTCTCGGCCCTGGACCTATGACCGACTCCTGATGGCTCACGGGCATATGCATGGAAAGCGTTGTACCCCATGTTTGACCTCAGTACTGTCAAAATCCATGAAAAAAGCGCTTTGAAACAGTCAACTTTTTAAAAAGTTAGCGAAACAAATACGAACCTTCAATCAACTGGAAGAAACGTTTGAAACTGATTGGAAAGTCTTCGTTTCAGACCGGAAATTTCACGAAATCTCATCCCTGTCCACCCAGTAAATTAACGTTGCACAACAAAATCGTCAATCAAAACGCCCTGAATAGAAAGATCAAGGACGAAATGTGTAAACCCCCAACACGGGCATCCACATAAACAAGTTCTTTTAACCGATAGTTAACATTGATCTAGTGTGGTAATCCCAAGACATCTTGATGATTGGTTCACCGCCAACTTTAAAACTCAGCCAACCTGGTGACCTATTCACCTGGCTTGACGAAGCTTTTGGTCAAAGCGAAATATTGCCCCGCTATAAAAACATCGCTTGTTTTTCAGACCCTTCTGAAATAGTGCACATTTTTGGATTCAGTATCACTAACTATACTTATGGTGGAAAGATAGATGTATGCCAACGAGACATTGAATTTCCCCATGAATAAACAGCCCTGAAGCAACGGTCACAATATTTCGGCTGGCCTTCACTAATACACGGGGGGGGGGGGGGAAGAATTTCCGTGCACACAAAAATCACACCAAGAGAGCATCACACCACTTGGTGGCTTACTTGACGATGTGCTGCAACCCTCTGAACATCCGGTTTCAGTATCGCTAACGTCAGCTGGGCGATGCCGCGGGACATGAAGTCTCGAAAATGGAAAGAAGAGTTTAAGGAACACAATCAAATTCACAAAAATTCATTGGGCGTTGAATCCTAATGAAACACAATCATCACTTGAGTAGTATTCCTGTCAGTCTCTTGAAGAGTTCCAGAACAACACCTGACATTGGTATTCACATTCTCTCAGCTATTCACGAGAGGTATATTGTGATCCCGAAACTCAATCAAGGCATTGATCTCTTGAGATATCGTCTTCATTAGGCAAAATTACTGTATTTTTATTAGTGTACATTCTTTATGGATGCCGTTTCGAACTCCACATTGGTTGTGTGAATCCTTTTTAATACGTTTGGTCCAGCCTCCTGCTTGTGTGAGCCGGTTGTTGTTTGACCAAAACCAAACCAAATTGCTGACCGGAAGGTCCGTGGTTCGAACCCGACCTCAGCCTCTCGACTTTCCCTGTCTAGGTTTAGGCAAACTGGCAATATCCCTGTCCTCGTGCTTCCCTCTGGTGGCATGGTAGTTAAGCACCGAAAGGGTGCTACAGCTGAACGACTTTTTTTTGGGGTAAAACAAACGACTGGACGAATTCGATCTGCGTTCACCTTCAATGGAACGATATGAAATACTCCGATGACTGACGTTGGACCGAATTCAGACCGTTATTGATCAATGATGCTGCTTTTTCACGTGTTGCTGTTATTGCAGCCACTGTATCGCCTCTTACCCCTACAAACAGATGATTTTGAAACACTTTTTTAAGTTCATTACTTTGTTATTGGACCGATAGTTATCCAATCAATTGTGGCTAGTTTGCTTGCAAGCAACTTTGCATGGACTCACCCACTGGAGTTGGAAGAAGGTTGCCAGATACCTGAAAGTTTGTGCGCGGTAGCCCCACGTATTAGGTTGCTAGGAGAAGTTACCCTGACAACAACGCGATATTCGGTTATTGGTACTCGAATACAAAACGGTTGGCATTGGCAATGATGCTGATGGCGGTCATCTAATCTGTTGCGCGCCCCGGATGAGAAAGTGTAAGCGGAGATTCCAGCGCAGTGCGTTTGAAAGCTGTCGAACTTGAGGATTATCTTATGTGACAGAGGAAACTAGGGCCCAGAGTCAGCAGCAAGACCTATCAACATCCGTGACCCTCATCAGCAACCAGTTGATCTATTGCCTACGGGAAAGTGGACTTTATACATGGATCTGCTTGGAACATAATCAAACCTTCAAGCACAACTAAGCCCATAGTGCAAAAGGCATCGAAGAACTATTACCATACTATTCCATGGTATTAGGAGAACCGTTTTCAAACTATTTTGGACTACTACAGCCAATGGAATAACCGTTTTTCGTTGAGACAGATTTCATTGGTGTTCTTCACTATTTTGGACTACTACAGCCAATGGAATAACCGTTTTTCGTTGAGACAGATTTCATTGGTTGTTCTTCACTCACCCTTGATAGATGAGTTGTAGTCTTAGTAGCACTTTTTTGACCCGCTAGTACGCGACAGTGATTAATAGAGCAGCTGCCTCGCACGTTCATTGACTTTCCTGGTTTGGCCAAGCGTACCATGCGATCAAGCGGCTATCCAGACCGGGGTTCACGGTCTGGCACATAGCAATATTCGAAAATTCAGCATAAACAGTGAGAAGCGAACGACAGTGGAATAATGCGATATATCTTTTTCGAAAAGGTAACAAAAATAGAACAGAGACGGACAGTTTAGACAGTAGTATTATTGTATAACTCCGTTTTTCACTTCTGATAGTTGGTCCACCAATTTAACTTCGAGGTGGTCTTCGAGTCTGGGTACTGTGGAAGCGGCCTGAAGAAGCGAAAAGAAGGGTGATGGTGAGCGAAAGTGAGAAGCGCTGTAGGGTACGACAATCCGAAGCTCTCTAGAGCGATCAACGACAGAACGGCCAAAAAAGTGCTGCGGACGTCGTCTTAACTCAACAGCACTTCATAGGTCATTTAAATTGCCTTTTTATTTCAGAGAAAGAACTGTCATACTCCTCAGTGGGCTAAAATGTATTCCCTTTGGAGGGTTTCTGGATATACGTGCCAATACTAGACTGTGGCTAATGAATTCATCCTCGATCTACTGGATACGAGCGAAAGTAGATGGAGAGAGAAACAAATACACGAGATTTCCAAATAGTCAGCCGTAGATTTTTGCCTTTCATGAATTACGAACGAATAAAATTCAGACGAGACCCATTCACATTAATTTCAGCGACAAACCCATGTCGTGGAGTCGCATTTCCGTTGAAAATAAGATAGCCTTGGTAAAAAACGTAAGTAGACGCCATTGCAACAGCTTCGCTCATGGTCGAGGAACCATCAACCCACCGCTACGTACCACCACGCTCCCCATTAACGCACTGATGATGTCACCTCCATTGGTGATGAAACGTTTGCAATCAAATTGCCCAGCTCGGCGAACAAGCCAACGACCATCTACGCTACCTGAGCTACCAACGTTTTCCTCTATAGAAAAGCTTCACTCGTGTTGAAGATTAGCAGAACCTGTGCCCGTTGCCTTTCGGAAGATATAGTATTTTCACCCGTATCCTGCTCACAGCCACCTACGGCTACTTCCCTCATTCCAATAACTTACTGCGCCGGCGGACACCTTATTCGTTTCACTAACTAACAGTCTGGGGATCTGAATCCCATACGTCAACCAGTGAGTGCTGCGAAATCGAAGTATCCCATTTGACGTCTTAATTTTGGGCACTTTCTACGGCTTAATTGTGTCGGAAATTGCAATTCAACATATTGCGAATCGCAGAGTTGAAGTTGGAAAGATCATGCACCTGCGATGGGCTTCAGTCGACGTGAAAGCACAGTATAGATGTTTTTAGGCCTTCACACCAGTTCTCGAGCCGCGCTTAATGTACAACAATGTCGCACTTTTCACTAACAGAACAGAATACGTGAGAGCCAATCAAAATGGGGCGGCGTTATCGACCGGTGAACCGAACCAATCAGCTTCAAGATCGGCTAGCTCTGGTGAGGGTGAGAAACATCGGCAAAAATCCAAATTCCGGCCAGCTCAGATGATGCGGGAAAATTCAGAAGCGGTTCATAGATTGGGAACGAGAGAAACTATTGATTTAACCATCTGAGAGTAAATAAATTAGCGCCGGTTTCAACTAATACTCTGTTTTTCATTCATCCTTTTGTCTTGGCTCGCCAAATGCGTTTTAAAACTTCAAAACAAGATCGTTCAGGTGTGGCATTCGTTTGATGTATAGCTGTCATCCAAGGCGAAACGAACCAGAAGACTTAGATGACGATAAGATATCCCAGCTACCAAAGGACCCGATTCATGGACCTGCCGGTCGGTCGGTCGTACCTCATCGTTGGAAAAAAACACCATAATTCCCAATGATCATGGTCTATCCCTTCTTCGAAATCCACAGAAAAATGAGTAACTTTTCATTCAAAACGAGCACATCATGTACCCTGTCTGAGTGTGAATGTGAATGTGTAACACAATTCCATCAGAACATAGGGGTTACAAGGAGAACGGTTGCGATGGAATGGAAGCTACGGTCCAGCATATTCGCCTTTCGTAGGTGGGACTTGTATATGAAGGCAGGTACTATGTAATCGCCCGATTACCAAGAGACGGAATTTTGGTGAACAGTGATGGCGTTGCCACGATTCTCTGATCATGAGTTTAGAAGACTCCAATGAAATGGTGTTTGTCATGTCAAGGATTAACGGCTTCGAGACAGGGAGTTGCCGCATGTGGTGAACAGGGGTTTCCTCTCAGTAATTGGATCTATCAGTGGAAAGATACTGGGTTTTTATGGCTTGTGGTTTTACTTGCGCTGGTTACCTTAAGCCGACCGGTCATCAGCGGATACGGCGACTATTCCGTGAACAGAGTAAAATAACCAGTTCTGCTAAAGGTTTCGGGGGATCTCGGCTACAAAAGTGGTTTCCCACGACCGCGACCGAATATGCCAACTATCAAAACGCACGTGTTAATGTCAAGGGAGTCATACCTGAACTATTCGTTCCAATCCGGTCGCAATACGTTTATGAACAGAAAACAACCGCTCCAGATTTTCAACCGCTTGACACAAGGGAGTTGGGTCGGGGAATGGAATAGGCTTGTTTTCAGGCAGCCGGTCACGTGGTACCATCGGCTGAGTTCCGGGTTCAGATGAATCGAGTATCGATGAGAATTTTTCGCTGGATAAAGTCAAACGTTCCTTGAGTTGTTGAAGCTTTTCCAACTAAAGCAGAATGGTTGGAAGAAAAAACTGGTTCAAAGGGACCAAGAAAATTAAACTCCGAGAGCACAATAATGACTGTTATCACTACGTTTACACATGCGACGTATCGAAACAGTGGTTTCCGGTCAAAGGTCCACCGATTGCGCTTAAAAACGTCCGAATGAACATACTACTGAGACGCATATAAGTAAACCACGGCTACGAAATGAATCGGTGTTTTCGTGCGTTTTTCTCAACTCACCGCTACCCAAAGTGGCAAAAGCTGCATACATGGTGTTCCTTGTCAAAATCAAAGTGAACGACGAGTGGTGCTATGTGCGATCCAAGTGCGAGTTAATCACACTGCTAATCAGCCGCTCCTGGCTGAAAAGTTGAGTGTACATACTACTAGCCGGGAGATCGCGCGTTCGAAACTCCATGGAGCTTCGTGAGCGGTGTGCTGGTGATGATTACCAATAAGGATCGAACAAGTATATAAAGCTTGTTGTTTTCGGAATGGACTGGCTTCACTTACACGACGTAATCTCCATACAACAGTCAACCAATAAGTAGCTGAGAAGGATAACTTCACAGATGGAACGTCCTTGTGAGAAGTCATCGCTCGGGGAGCCAGTTAGCACGTGATTGGAAGGATGATTGGCGCTATGCCCTGTCCAATTGGGAGAGCCACAGTGCTGATGATTCCCAATAAAGATTCCCATCTGCACGGTGTTCCTCAGTTTTTCAGCATAGATGGGCTTCACTTACATAGGGAAATCTCCGCTGAAGTCAAGCTGTCATTTTTCGGCGTCCCCTCTGAGAAGACTCTTTGAGTTTCTATCTAGGGAATACCGCGCCAAGGTTCGTTTCAGTTCAAGTGACGCACGCGTTTGCTGTTCACTCGGACTGTGCTCCACTCAATAACTTTGTTTTTTATGATTGTGTGAAGGAACATGTGACATTTCGTAAACATATCGTCAATATATCTCGACTAATTATCAACTTATTCAAACGGTGTGTGTACTGTGGATGAATTCGTTCACCCGAAGGGCCGCACACTATGTGAGTAATATTTTAAAGACTACCGGTCAACGGACCAAATCGATATGATGTCAACTCCAGGGCTGGCGACGAGCTCCACTGAACGATGATCATCGAATGAGACAGAAGTAAAGTTCCGAGCCACGCCAAACCAGAAACGAACAACGGTGAATTTAAACCCCGAAATCGAACCGTGTTGCCGCAACCGCAAGAGAACCAGCGAGTTAAGTGGGTGGCAGGCGAGTCCGGCTAACTAGACCCGCAGTGTCGAAAGACAATCCCATTCAACTGAACTAAGCGCACTTGTGTAGTAGCATAGACTCGTTTCACGACGGAATCAGGTTTCTACTCGGTATGTTCGGCTAAATGGTCATCTTTGAAATAGCGCCGTCATTTAGTCTTCAGAGACTTCTGAACAGCTCTGACTAGTCAGGGCTGCATGTTATCCTTGCCCTGTACCATAGTGTCATCTAAACCGTTTTTATAAGCAGGTGACAAACCGAGGTGTGAGTATTGGCCGTTTCACATGGAGGTAGCAATAAACCACCAGCGCGCCTACTTGAAAGTACATTCAGAAGAAGACAAACACGACAAAGTCATACAACCAGAATGTCG